CTGTTACTCACGGCAGTAAATAGATAGGAATAATTGTATGGACATGGTTCAGATCTACCTATGAAAGATATCAGTTAGGAAAGGTCAATACTTCTCATGAGACGAGTTATCTCTTTAGAGTTAAGAGGAGCTCTTGTAAGAAGTAGTTATTGCTGTGTGGAAATTGTGACTGTGCTTAAGGCGGTATCACATTTTCTTTTATTACTTTTTGGTTTGTTTTATTTAGTCTGTGTGCGTGCGTGTTGTGTTTTTAAGGGGGTGTGGGTGTTGCGACTGTTACGACGGAGACCGAGAATTACCGACATTCGGATAGAAACAGGCAGAAAGCGACAGACCCAGACACAAACAAAGTCAATCAGAGAAAGAAAGACAGACAGACAGGGACCGTTTAGATAGAAACATAAAAACAGAGACTTATAGATACAGACGAATAGCGAACCAGCCAGAGGCAGAAACGTCGTATGAAACATAAAAAGACAGACACGGGAAAGACGAAAAACGGCAAATAGGAAGACTGGCAGCCAATAAGTGAGAAAGGATGAGAAACCTGGGGACAGTGAGGGACAACACATAGGAACTGACACAGACGGGAAGACAAACAGAGAAAACGGTTTAAATTTAGCCAGACAATAGAATACAATAGGGAAGTCATCTGTAGGTTTGTATCCGATAGTGACACATACATTGTCAACCCTATGAAGGTACAGACATGCGCGAACAGCAAACAGACCATCGGACATACAACATATAAGAGAGACAATTGTACAGACTATGTGACAAACGGAAAGATAGACAATCAGGCATACAAAAGGAGGTGCACAATAAGACAATCAGACATACAGAAAGAGAAAGACAATTAGACTGACAAAGACAGAAAATCAGATATGCATAGAGTGAGTGAGTAGAGTTTTACGCTGAGTTACCAATATTACAGCAGTATCACGGCAGGGGACACTAGAAATGGGCTTCACACATTGTACCCATGAGGGAATCGAACCCGGGTCTTCGGCGTGTCGAGCGAACGCTTTAACCTCTAGGCTACCCCACCGATATGCACAGAGCTAACGGTTGGGGCATGTCGCGGTAAGAGACAGTCATTGACACAGTTAGTGAGAGACTGCACAGAAAAACCTACAAGCTTGATATTACTCATGATAGCAGACATCAAGAAATGCAATGAGGCAAAGAAAGATGAAGGGGGAAGCACACACTGATACGACATGCACTGATAAGGACACAGGGTGAAAGATACAGACAAGAAATATGGAAACAGACACAGGGTGAAGGAAACAGACAAGACAGAAGGAAACAGACACAGGGTGAAGGAAACAGACAAGACAGAAGGAAACAGACAGGGTGAAGGAAACAGACACATTGTGATGTGAAGGAAACAGACACTGAGTGTAGGAAACAGACAGGGTGGAAACAAACAGACAAAGAAAGAAGGAAACAGACATGGGGTGAAGAAACAGTGTGAAGGAAACAGACACAGGGTGAAGGAAACAGACACGGAATGAAGAAAACAGACACAGGGTGAAGGAAACAGACACATTGTGAAGGAAACAGACACGGAATAAAGAAAACAGACACAGGGTGAAGGAAACAGACACGGAATGAAGAAAACAGACACAGAGTGAAGGAAACAGACACATTGTGAAGGAAACAGACACATTGGAAAGGAAACAGACACGGAATGAAGAAAACAGACACAGATTGAAGGAAACAGACACAGAGTGAAGGAAACAGACACATTGTGAAGGAAACAGACAGAGTGAAGGAAACAGACACAGAGTGAAGGAAACAGACACATTGTGAAAGAAACAGACACAGGGTGAAGGAAACAGACACAGAGTGAAGGAAACAGACACATTGTGAAGGAAACAGACACATTGTGAAGGAAACAGACACAGGGTGAAGGAAACAGACGCAGTGAAGGAAACAGACACATTGTGAAGGAAACAGAGAAGGAAACAGACACGGAATGAAGAAAACAGACACAGGGTGAAGGAAACAGACACAGAGTGAAGGAAGGAAACAGTGAAGGAAACAGACTGGGTGAAGGAAGCAAAAAGGAGAAACAGACACAGTGTGAAGGAAACAGACACAGAGTGAAGGAAACAGACACAGAGTGAAGGAAACAGACAGGGAAGGACACAGGGTGAAAGAAACAGACACGGAATGAAGAAAACAGACACAGGGTGAAGGAAACAGACACAGAGTGAAGGAAACAGACACAGAGTGAAGGAAACAGGCAGGGGAAGAACACAGAGGTGTGAAAGAAACAGACACGGAATGAAGAAAACAGACACAGGGTGAAGGAAACAGACACAGAGTGGAGGAAACAGACACAGGGTGAAGGTAACAGACAGGGTGGAAGGAAACAGACAGGGAAGAACACAGGATGAAAGAAACAGACACGGAATGGAAGAAGAAACAGACACAGGGTGAAGAAGGAAAAGAAACAGACACAGGTTGAAGGAAACAGAGACAGACAGGGTGAAGGAAACAGTGAAGGAAACAGACACAGTGGAAAGGAAACAGTGAAGGAAACAGACAGAGTGAAAGGAAACAGACACAGAGTGAAGGAAACAGACACAGAGTAAAAAAAAGTGAAGACACAGGTTGGAAGGAAACAGAGTGAAGAAACAAAGGAAACAGTGGAAGGAAACAGACAGAGAGTGAAGGAAACAGTGAAGGAAAAACAGAACAGAACACAGGGGAAAAAACAGACACAGGTTGGAAGGAAACAGAGTGAAGAAGGAAACAGACAGGATGAAGGAAACAGACATAGAGTGAAGGAAACAGTGAAGGAAACAGACAGGGTGAAGGAAACAGACACAGAGTGAAAAGGAAACAGTGAAGGAAACAGACACAGAGTGAAGGAAACAGTGAAGAAAACAGACACAGGAAAAAGTGAAGAAAACAGACACAGGTTGGAAGGAAACAGACAGGGTGAAGGAAACAGACACAGGATGAAGGAAACAGTGAGAGAAGGAAACAGACAGAGTGAAGGAAACAGACAGGGAAACAGACACAGGTGAGAAGGAAACAGACACAGAGTGAAGGAAACAGACACAGAGTGGAAGGAAACAGACACAGGGTGGAAGGAAACAGACAGGGTGAAGGAAACAGACACAGAGTGTGAAGGAAACAGTGAAGGAAACAGACACAGAAATAAGTAAACAGACACAGAGTGTAGGAAACACACGAGTGAAGGAAACAGACACACGAAGGAAGGAAACAGACACGAGGGTGAAAGAAGGAAACAGACAGAGTGAAGTGAAGGAAACAGACACGGGGTGAAGGAAGCAGACACGAGTGAAGGAAACAGACATACATCCAGATGCAACATGCGACAGACATCCACACTCGGCTTAATTACTGAGCAGTTACAACCCAGTGTCCAACCCTGTGTCAAGACTGAAAATGTTCGACTTAAAAAATGGATTCTTCACGCTAACTAGCTCATACCACTTAGCGATTACATGCGGGGCATTTTCTCACAATCTCCTTAGACGTCGAGCGGAGAATGTTAGAAGTTACCGGCAAATATAACAGGTCACACAATGCCGCTTTGTGTACGATCATTCGAAAAAACTATGCCATGATCACCGGTGTAATTATAGCCCAAATGATAGGGCTTTCTTGTTGGGCCTTGTTTGTCTGCAAGGGAGGCTAGTTTGGAAGGATTTATGTTTTTAATGGCTGCTTATTTCCCTGATATGATCTTGTGGGTGTTTCGCTTTGCAACCAAATTCTCTCCTACATCAACGCTCGTTAAGCAGGTAGAGCGTCGACACAATACAGGCAATGTACGCGCCCGTTGAATGAGCCAGCGACACCATGCATGAAAACACCTTCCTAACAACTGGTGACAGGAAGAAAATAATCATCGTATTGCGCGTGTTCTACTTGTTGAAATCCGAGGATTAATGGCGGTGCTGGGATATGAGTTATAATTCCGAAACTTGTGGTTATCTTTAAGTTGGTGCATTCGTCTCTTATTGTATTAGTGGTTATAGTGGCCGATGCAGACTGTGGCTTTCTTTCCACTTGGAGCGCGATTCAATTCAGCGCTTCCTTTCAACTGACAATCTAACGTAACACTGCTATCACCTCAGCAGTCTAAATACAACACTATACTGTCAAATAACAACCCAAGCAAATAGAACGAGACTTTGAAACTGTGCGAGAAAAGCGTGTCACGTGCCCCTCAGACAGATCCAAAGGGCCATGACCCTAAATCCCCTTTGCGCATGCGCAATATTGAGACTGACAGTTATGGCGTTTGATTATGTAATCGTTTGCCAGCGTAAACAGAGACTCGGCCTTCCAATGTGGATCTCACCATACTGCAGGCGAGGCGCGGCGCCCGTTGCAATCAAATGTGATGCGACGATTAGGTGTTTCCGAGACAAAATAAAGACTTAACCCAACTGTTAGACGTCGAGGGGTATAAACAATAGTAATATTACTGTGTGTAAATGTACCATATCGCTTGATAGTGTGAGTTTAGCCTAGTTTTGACAACTGTCGAGACAGCATTAGACCCGTCTCGGGCTGAGGGTTCAAAGCTGACACTCTTGTCTGACATGCGTTCATTTTCCTTAAGGCGTGATTGCGTTATGAGGGCTTCCCGAATAGAGTCCTCCTTTGGAGCTTCGTTTGTCAAATTCCGTTCCACTGTGTCATGGACACTTTTTAACCCAACTGGCTGCATTCCAAAGAATTTAATCCGAAATATCACGAAATAATCTGGGGTAAGGTTCAGCCTGACCTGCACCGACTCTCCCTCCCCACCCCCCACCGCCACCCCCGGGCCTGGTGTATCGATCCCTGGGGCTGGGAAATACAGACAATCTCCCTGGGTCAAGACGCCCTGTCTCGACCCAGCAAGGCAACCTGCCTCAGTGTTTTGTTGTCGATTATGTAACCAAACTGCTCGGCAGTCATACAGCTATGATGTAATAAGAAAAAAACCAGGACAATTGGCTACCTACCCGCCATCTTCGTTGATTGCAGTCGTATGGTAAAGTATATCCACCTATATGAAATATCCTGACTATTGAGCGGCGTGGATTGTATAACTCACACCGCTCTTCTCCCCAAACACATTCTGTATACAGCGACACACTCTCAATGCTCGGTGCATCGAAAGCAGGTTTGCAGAGGTCATATGCAAATTAGCGGGTCACCTGCACGCAACATGCACGACCAGCATGTATAGTACGTACGTTCGTGTGCAGCTGAGAGCATGGGGTTGTCGTCTTGTGACGTCATCCGTTTCAATCTCACGCGACGACAGATACGTGTCCCGATGCAGGTGCTTCGACAACGACTGCACGACAACTGCTCTGCGATGCATGCGAAGTAACCACCATATTCCTGCAGCGTCGTCTTTCGGAAGCGATTTTTCTGTCTTATCAATCCTAACTGCATTTTAACAGCTGCAGCGGGATTAAAAAACTAACTTTGAGTCAGGACATATTGATTTAAAGATGTTTGTACAATAACACGGTGACATTTCGCCGCTCACGACCAAGGAACTCGCGTGGGTCTATCGTGGGTTCATGCGTGACCATGCCCACACCGTCACCCACAGTTCGATGTCATCGATCGGGGATATTGATTTTTACATGTTTCGACTTTCTCGATCAGCTGACTGCTACGTGGGTGGTCTCCCTTTGACGCAGAGCTCTCCAGATTAGGGAAAAACACCTATTCTGACATCATGTCTATATTTGGTGCGAATTTCGATTTTACCAAGCGCATCAGCAAAGGTGAAGGCTTTTGTAAAGGTGTCTTAAACGGAAGTAATTTGACTCGGACAATATATTAGCATTGAATTAGGTCTAAATATAGGATACGTTCTCTGGCATGGGTAGCAGCGTCTATTTGTGTCTACTCTCGCAATCTGAGCGGGGATGAATGACGAAACAGGCGACTCCGTGAGAGAGGCAGTGTATCGCTGCTATCACGACGCTGGTATTACAGAGAATAGGCCTACTTTGAATTACAGTACCGTGGACTGGTTGTCGTGTCATGCTACTCTCTGCTAATAAAACTAAACTACAGTTACTAATAATTAAAATAATGCAGCTATTACTACTACTACTACTACTACTACTACTACTACTGCTGCTGCTGCTGCTACTACAACGACGACGACGACCACTACTGCTTTTATTATATTATTACTACGGGGGCGGTGGGGTAGCCTAATGGTTAAAGCGTCCGCTCGTCACACTGAAGCGGCGTAGTATTACGGAATCTAATCTGACGATGAAGATGCAAATGATTATGACGAGGAGGATTGTAGGGACGATGACGATGAAAGCTAACACATTTCTGGCTACAATGAGTTGCTACTTATATGATGACGTTGATGATGAGATGAATTATCACATTCGATGCTGATGATATGAGTTATCGCTCGTATGGTGCTGACTATGCGACGATATAAGTTATCAATTGTTTGATGACGACAGTGACAATGACGGTGGTGATGTAAGTTATTACTCATGACTACGACCGTGATGACGGCGACGCTGACAATGGCGATGTTGGTGTAAGATGTTGATAACATATCGGCGATGATGATTATCATTCAAACAGTGTCGGTGATGATGTACGTTATCATAACATGGTGACGACGATGATGACATCGTTGACGATGACGTTGATGATATGTTGTCATGACAATTATACATAAAGTTATGACATATGTCGGCGATGACTTTCAATAGCAACTGATAGTTATTGTCATATTAGCTGAAGACAAAGGTGTGTCTTCTTGCATCACTTCGAGTGGGTGAGTGAGTGAGTGAGTGAGAGAACGGTTCAATAACCAGTACCCAAGTCTCCCGGCTGCTCAACATAAAAGCTCAACCTGCATATACACATATACATAATCAGGGCTGGTAACGGTTACCGTATAGCCTTCAGAGAGATTGTGTAATTTGACAGCTATCAGACAGCTAGACACGTGAGTAAGTCACCATATCGGTTCTTGTCCTAGTTTGGGGCTGGGGTTTACAGCGCCCTCTGTCCTCTAATCTAGGAGGTTCACTACCCTGCCTTCCCACTGTTGATTTGAGTGATCAGGCGCAAGTCTTCATTTTAGGATTACCCGTCTCTTTGATCTACGGTCGCTGTGACGGTGGGGAATTGGATGAGAAAAAAGAGATATGGGCTTGAGAATAATCGGTAACGATGACAACTAAGGTGGAAAGACAGGACACTGCATACTGGTCATTTTGGGGTGGAAATAATTATACTATAATAATAATTATACTTCACGGGATGCTTTTTGGCCATGGGAAAGGTGGGCCTATTTAATGGCGGGATCATACTTCGGGTGGAGCCGGGATGTAACAGGAAGAGGTGGGTTAGAACGGGGTCAAATAATGACGGGTGGGGTGGCACAGTTTAGATTGAATTGGAACAGTCTTGGATGGTGAGTGAGTATGGTTTTACGCCGCTTTTAGCAATATTCCAGCAATATCACGGCGGGGGGCACCAGAAATGGTCTTTAACATTGTACCCATGTGGGGAATCGAACCCGGGTCTTCGGCTTGACGAGCGAACGCTTTAACTACAAGGCTACCCCACCACCCCCTCTTGGATGGAGTGAAACAGCTGAGAATGTGGTGGTCTGTCCCTGAAGGGGCGCACAATTTGGAATCGCATGGTGCAGTTGAGAGAGGTGTGACACATTGTTGTGGGAGCGGGACAGTTTAGGGCTGAAAATGTGGGTTTCAACAGTTGAGAATGGAGTTGAATGGGGTTGAATGTTGTTGCACAGTTTATAGAACGGTGGGATATTGTCGGAAGGGGTGAGACATTTTTAATGGGACGTTATATAGTTGGGTGGGGGAGGATCTGCATAGTGAGTGAGTGAATTGAGTTTTAGGCCGCGCGCAGCAATATTCCCGCTATATGGCGGCGTCTGTAAATCATCGCGACTGGAAGAAACGGTATAAGTTGAAGGGAACAGTTTCAGGTGGGACGAAATATTGTTTGATTGGGTGGCGTTGAAGTTTAGTGGTGGCGTTAAATACTGCTTCGGGGTGGTAGGGGTGGGGTAGGATAGTTACGGGTGGAGCGTAACAGGTTCTGTTGGGACGGGATATTGTTGGATGGGGTGGATCACAGGATGGTGAGGTGGAACTGTTCAGGGTAGGTTGGAATACGCATGGGTGCTGGCAAACCTAGGAAATATATTCGTGCGAATCGGGATTCGAACTTGCGATCATAGGTTCCTCACGCTGCCGGGCGGTGGGGTAGCCTAGTGGTTAAAGCGTTGGCTAGTCACGCCGAAGACCCGGGTTCGATTCCCCACATGGGTACAATGTGTGAAGCCCATTTCTGGTGTCCCCCGCCGTGATGTTGCTGGAATATTGCTAAAAGCGGCGTAAAACCAAACTCAGTCAGCCAGTCAGTTCTCACGCTGCCAAGGGACGCACCTGCAGCGAAACGCGGGTTCTTAGAAGACTGTGTCATTCGTGCCCCGTCACATTGAAGCCAAGACATTGATTGCTCAGAGTTCGTATTCGTCGCTAACTTGAACGTGGGTGAATGGGGGTTTTAAACACACTAATTTATTCACACTATTCTGTGAAATGAAATAATCGAGATGCTCGCCTCTGCTGCATAATTCATCCGTTATTTTCTTTTCAGGTGCGAACCAATTACATCTTTGGTGGAGATGCGACCTTCTCCCACGCTAACCCAAGCCGTTGAAGAGAAGTTCACATCACAGGAGACGTGACCGTCACCGACATTGACCCGATATGGAGGAGCGACCATCACCTTCACTGACTCGAGATGGAGAAGCGACCTTCACCTACACTGACTCACGATGGAGAGGCGACCTTCACCTACACTGACCCACGATGGAGAGGCGACCTTCACCTACACTGACCCACGATGGAGAGGCGACCTTCACCTACACTGACCCGAGATGGAGAAGCGACCTTCACCTACACTGACTCACGATGGAGAGGCGACCTTCACCTACACTGACCCACGATGGAGAGGCGACCTTCACCTACACTGACCCGAGATGGAGAAGCGACCTTCACCTACACTGACTCACGATGGAGAGGCGACCTTCACCTACACTGACTCACGATGGAGAGGCGACCTTCACCTACACTGACCCACGATGGAGAGGCGACCTTCACCTACACTGACCCGAGATGGAGAAGCGACCTTCACCTACACTGACTCACGATGGAGAGGCGACCTTCACCTACACTGACCCACGATGGAGAGGCGACCTTCACCTACACTGACCCGAGATGGAGAAGCGACCTTCACCTACACTGACTCACGATGGAGAGGCGACCTTCACCTACACAGACTCACGATGAAGAAGCGACCTTCACTTATACTGACTCACGATGGAGAGGCGACCTTCACCTACACTCACCCGAGATGGAGAAGCGACCTCTGACCCGTCATATCCAAGAAACAGAAGCGATTTTCACGCCGACCTACCCAAAATGTGGAAGCGACCTTGGACCTAATTGACCTAAGATGGAACACAGTAAATGGTAAGTTTGTGTTTAGCGAGATACTTGCTCTTTGTCATCCGTGCTTTCCATTTTTACGCTCACTTTGAACCACACGCTACACGCTATAAACGTCTTATCGAAGGTCGAGATGTTTTTAGTCTCTCTGTAAGTACTATTTCTACCCTGTAAGAATACACCTTTCACCACAACAGATCCTGTCAGGTCATTCAATACTTTTGTCAAACCTGAAAATTTAGAATGAAAACCCAGCTTGTGTCCAATGATTGTCAAGTATAAAATGATAGTTTTCTTCAACAGCCAGGCGCAAACAATGAGTATTATGACGAATCGTTAACATATTTAGCAGAAAGGGTGTTCTCCAGTTAGTGCCCTGGCAGTTAAATACGTCACTGAACGTCGATGAGGTGACTGTTCTTTGCTCTATTGACCACACGGTTTTTGTATAGTAAATACATCGCTCGCTAAACCCACTCCCTCACCCACCCATCAACACACCCTCACTCACTCACCCTTTCACTCACCCACCCTTTCACTTACACACTCATTCATTGAGTCTCTCTCACCACCAACCTATCCACTCACTCACTCACCAAACTCACTCACTCACCCACTCATTCACCACCAACCCGCTCACACACTCAACCACCCATCCTTTCACCCACTCACTCATACACTTATTCACCACCAACCAACCCGCTCACTCAACCACCCATCCTTTCACTCACTCACTCACTCACTCACACGATCAGACACTCACTCACCCACGCACAAATGCAGTATTCAGACAGTCTTCAGCTGATTTAGTGAAACTGTACTGATATGCCCTTCCTGACCATGTCACACTTAAAATCACGTTGTTGAACTTTATCGTGATAAGACCGGCATATGAATCTTCAGATAATAGCGAATATCTACAGTGTTCAACTCAAGGCAGAGGCCAGAATCGCTATTTATCACGTCGTAATATTGCAATGAGTCTTTTTTACATCCAGAATAGTTTTCTCCAGTGAATACCCAGCTCGGAAACAGGAGCACAGCTGTTCGGAAACAGACTGGGATTCGAGCGCCAGGTTTAGCGTAACTATCGTTGCCCTCCTCGTTATAACGAGGACTGTTCAGAGTCTATACTGTGTTTGAGTGTGAGTGAGTGAGTTTCGGTTTTACGCCGCTTTTAGCAATATTCAAGCAATATCGCGGCGGGGAACACCAGAAATGGGCTTGACAATGTACTCATGTGGGGAATCGAACCCGGGTCTTCGGCGTGACTAGTGAACGCTTTAACCACGAGGCTACCCCACCGCCCAACGAGTGACAAGATATCGTGGCACTGTGTTTAAACAAGATGTCGTCACTGTGAAGACATCAAAATCGCTCTCCTCTTGATCGTAAACGATCGCTGTTTAAACTTCGGTATTAAAGACGTCGTTTATAACTCTGGCATCACCGTCATTCGTGTTATAACGTCTTTATCATGGCCGTCGCTGTTATGACGTGACGTCAGCCTCATCCGTTATCAAACGTCAACATCAAGGTTGTCGTCTATAGCTTGTTATCGACGTCATCGGTAATTAAACGCCGACAAAAAGATCGTCGTTATTTTAGTTCAACATCAACGTCTTCGACATCATCGTTAAACGTCAACATCATGGTCATAGTTTATAAACTTCCCCTTCAACGTCATCAGAATTTTAACGTCGATATCAAGGTTTTCGTTTATAACATTATTATCAACGCCATCGGTATCTAAACGTAGACAACAAGGTCATCGTTTATAAACTTCCATTTCAACGTCATTGGTATTTAAAGGTCGACATCAAGATATAACTTTGGTATCAATGCCATCAGTGTTATGACGTCGATATATAGGTCGTCGTTAATAAAGTTCGACGTCACCGTCATCGGTAATTAAACGTCGACAATATGATAATGTTCGGCTTTAACGTCTTCGATCTTGAAACGTCGACATCTACGTCATCGATTTGTAAACTCGACATCTACGTCATCGATTTGTAACTCGACATTATGACGTCGGCATCAAGGTCACCCCGATGTAACTCGACATCAACGTCATCGGTAATTCAAACAGAGTCGTCGTGTAAATTAACTTCGAGTTAAACGTCATCGATTTTTAAACGCCGACTGCAAAGTCTTCGTTTATATACGACGACATCAACGTCATCGGTATTTAAACGTCGACATCAAAATATACCCTTAGTATCAACGTTATGATCGGTATCAAAGACGCATTAATAAAAGCCGACAACAACGTCACCTTTGTTTTAACGCCGCTGTCAACATCAACTTAACCAAAATAGTCGGCGGAAATAAATGCATAGCTATGATGACAATCAATGGCATCAATGGCATCCTCCAACGTCAGTTTCACAAGATATACTGTTCAGACGGCGTTGAGCCAAGGTACTGACTCACCATAAACGTGGTACGTGACACCGATGTCCCCCGGATCCAGAACAATTTGACGTCACGTTGACAGCCCTGCAAAGTGGTTTTCATAAATGTTTAAAAGGCGCTACATCATCTCTCCAACCATGGCTTACGTGACAGGGAAGCTGTGTTACACACAACTGAACAGAGCAGCAGACAGCGATGTCGGAGGCAACATCAGGCGCCTGAGTCGCAACCGCTGCAATAGGAACCCATTAAGTTCCCCAGAAGTCTTTAACGTAACGCACGGAAATAGTGCAATCTTTCAGTTAGCATGTCGCCAAGTTCACGCCTCGAACTCAATCGCCTCTTTATTCTTTGGAGCATTTTATTTAGATAGTTACATAAATTATTACCTACATCGCTCGCTCTTATCACACTTCTGTGGCAGATTCCTTCAATTCTGACAGGAAGCATGCTGTATGGCATCCTCGCAATGTCAACAGCGTTTAGCTTGTTCCTCATCCTTAACGCAGAGGAAACAATGAAGGCCTATGTCGTGTAATTATCTGCACTAAGTAACGTCAAACATCAAATATTTCAGGAATATCATTTTGCTGATTAAGCTTTTTGATGATTTATTGGTCCCGGGGAACTTTCTCTGCTGCTAGGATGTAACATAACAGACCGGTGGTGACGCGTTTGTGTGCCCCTACATCGACTTGAATTATAAGATCGTCCAAACAGCTTGAAAAAAATAATTATCTGTTGATAAATGAGATTCCAGCCGCATAATATATTAAGATGTCATGTTAAATTATGGATACATGAAATAAGCATTTTTGTTGAAGCCGCGATGGCTGAGTGGGCTAGATCGCTGACTTTGTGTACTGTCGGTTAGGTGCCTGACTGAGAGAATCCCGGATGTGTAATCCCATACGTAACATATGTTACATGTAATAAGAAGCGCGTTTTCGAAGTAAGTAGATGTCACATTGTGACGGTTCTGATATCTGGGTGCTGGATGCCAATCTTTACTTGTATCCGGAAGTGATGACAGTTCTTCAAGCGTATCCGCTCGCTAAAACAGTATCAGCATTCATGCTATTACACACTGCTTTAGTCTAGACCCTAACATTGGAATACAAGTAGCGTTACCTTCCAAGGGACCGTTCATAATTTATGGATGGGGGATGATGATGATTTTAAGGGGGTAAGCAATTTTGTTCTGGGGAGGGGAGGGTGTCAGGGGGTGTCACTTATTTTGTACATACATTTTAGGGGGGTCATTCATATTGTACATGCTTGTCCAAAAACATTCGTCATCTCCCACCTAGCCATAAATTATGAACGGTCCCTAATGAGCGTCGCCGCGCTACTTTTTTTAAAAAGCCTGGTAATTGGTTATTCAGAGTTTAATATTGTGAGCTAATATAGGTTCCTCGTTTCTTCGTTTTCGTCTCGTCTCGGCTTATATTCATTCGAGGGAGAAGTAATTTAATCTAACATACTGGGCGTTCATTGTGTTGCACTTTGACTGGTACGTACCGAGCGTTCATTGGAAAGCCGGCTCACCTTTAATGACAGGGAGAAATATGGTATTTCTGGAAAAAAACTTGCTGCGGCGTAGAACAACACTCACTCTGCTGATAGTTTTTTGCAAGCAGCAAAACATATGCTTCTGAATAAGAAGTACATCTGACGGGTGACGTGCGTGTGTTTGTGGTGCTCCGCCAGAAGATGGTCACGTGGTTTAACCCAACCAGATGTGTTGCCAGGATGTGTAATTTGGAAGCAAAACTGAGATGCTTTGTTTGGTTGTCGTTTAACCCCGCACTCAGCAATATTCCAACTATATGGCGGCGGTGTGTAAATAATCGAGTCTGGATCAGACAATCAACTGATCAACAGCATGAGCATCGATATACGGTATTGGGATACGATGACATGTGTCAACCAAGTCAGCGAGCCAGGTAGTCGCATCTTACGACAAGCAAACCTTCCGATAGAGCTTTTCTCCCTTGTCTCCAGTGAATGATGGATAGAGAACATCTTCTTCAAGAACATTGTCTCTCCGCTGTTAGGGGACTTTATTGTTTATTGGGGCGGTGGGGTAGTCTAGTGGTTAAAACGTTGGCTCGTCACGCCGAAGCCCCGGGTTCGATTCCCCACATGGGTACAATTTGTGAAGCCCATTTCTGGTGCCCCAGCCCTGATATTGCTGGAATATTGCCATAAGCTGCGAAAAAACATACTCACTCACTTATTGCTAGGTCTACCCGTGAAGGTCCGGGTTAGAATATTGGCCTTCCGTAACCCATGCTTGTTGTGAGAGGCAACTAACGGGATCGGGTGGTCAGGCTCGCTGACTTGTTTGATACATGTCACCGGTTCCCAATTGCGCAGATCGATGTTCATGTTGCTGATCACTGGATTGTCTGGTCCAGACTTACTTATTTACAGACCGCCGCCATATAGCTGTAATATTGCTGAGTGCGGCGTAAAACTAAACTCACTCACTTATTGCTAGGCCTACAATGTACGGAAGAGGTGCCAGAGGAGCCAAGAGTGGTCTATTTCTCCGCTTGATGTTTAACGCAGTACCCGGCAATTTTCCAGCTGTATGGCATCGG